AAATGAAAGCGTAAGAGTATGGAAAAGTAATGTTGATCTTTGAAGAAGTCTATTTTTTTTTTTTACCTTGAGTTGTTGATTGGTTCGTTTGAGGAACTGAACTTCTTCCGCATGCTTTTTTTCCTCAATGTCCCTCCGCTCTGCTTCCCGTCTCTCGATTGCATCACATTTAGCTTTTTGCTCGTTCACCAGCCTCTCCAGGTCTCGCTTCTCGCTCTCCAACTCTGAAATCTACCAGACGTTTGTGTCTCACCAAGGGCGAAATTGTGTGTGCTTCTCAGAAGATTTTTTTAGATGATGACTTTTTAAGCACACAATTTGTAAAATATATCCATTTAAATTAAAGGGGAGCTACTGTTGTTTTAGGCTCCAATGACTTTTTGTTTTGTCCAAAGACGATGTTAAAACGAAAATTATAACCCACTTACAAATTATATAGGGTTTAAAGAAAAATATCAAACTGGTTTCCATGGAACATGTTTATCATAATTTAAATCTAAAAATATGGTCAATTTTGACTTTTCAAATTAGTAGTTAAGAAGGGAAAATTCTAGATTTTTGGTTTCTAGTCATATCTATTTTTGAGTGAGTGTATTTTTTGATTAAGGGGCCATGAACCCCTCTCTGACTGGGAGTGGCGAGTGGTGAAAGAGAAAGGTTTGCATAAAAAGGGGAGATTCAATATGCACACTTTACGTTCAACTGATTTTCAAATCAGCAACACAGACACAGGGAAGATAGACAGTGATTCAGAAAGCAGCATTTACAGCGGATCTTAGAGCTGTGAGAAAGTGGAGGATTTTCAATCCATAATATTGTAGTGATATTACTGTAAACTAAAAAGCCAAATCAGTGTGACTAAGGTATGTCTTTAAAATCTGAAAGAGTACTGTCTGCTGACGATACTAACTAACTTGGAAATATGGAGAAACATAGACAAAGAACTTTGATCACACACTTACCAAATCCGTAGAGACAGGACAATCAACACAAACTGGAACAGTGTCTTTTTTTTTTTTTTAAGAAGACTAGTGGAAATCCAGATTTCACCAATTCCAGATGCGACAAGCTCTTGGATAAAAAATGTTCCTTACAAACTTATTTTTGTTGTATGTGAGCAGACCATTGTAAGGTCCATACGTGAGCTGTGCACTCATCGTGGGGAAATGGAAACAAAACCTTTGTTGCGGCACATTTATAAATGCAACACTTATGACCTGTGTCTGCGAACAATTATTCTACTTCTTGTTTTAATTATGGTTGGCAACACAATATGGTGTTTCTCTGAACACTACAACTGGTAAATACAGTCTCCGAAGCAATATATGCAATAATAATGAAGTTGCATCTCGTTCACAATAGAGCACGCTGATTGGTTCGAACCAAGTCTTTGTAGCAAAAGACCAAAAGAAAATCGGCACACTGCCACTTTAGCTCTCAAAAGTCTTTAATAGCACTCACACAACGTTTCGACCGACTTGATCGAACCAAGTCTTTCTCATGAATTAATGAAAAATTATAAAAATTCAAAATATTATATGGTCAATTAGGCGGTTCATTCCACTGTTGTGACCCCAGATTAATAAAGGAACTAAGCCGAAAATAAAATAAATGAATTAATATGGTCAATTATCATTTTTCAAATTAATAGTTAAGAAGAAAAACTTGAAAACTTCTGATTTTTGGTCGTATCTGTTTGTAAGTGAATGTAATTTTTGATTAAATCTGGTTGCTATTGATGATATTTCTTCCAAATTAAATAGAAAACTTTTTATTGTCAATTAGATTTTTAGTTTTTTTAACAAAAAAAAAGGTTTTATGTTTACAAGCAACATGCTGCTTCAGGAGTATTACATTTTTTTCTCTGTAATTTTCTTTGAAAAAGAAAAACAAATAAAAGTCTTTTTTTGGAAGAAATGTTGTCAGACCTTTTATAGAATAAAACAAATATCATAATTTTACTCAAACCCAAACTAGTAAATCCAGAGAAACACCACATTCTCTCATTATTTCACTCATATTTTGACAATTGTTTTTTACAAACATTATTTGAAACCATAAAGTGAACCCTTAGAAGCCCTATTGCGTTTTTATAGTGCAGTTACCAAACACTAATGAATATTTCAAAATATCGCACATTACCTTGTTCTCGAAGTCCGACTTCCCCTGCTCTCCCTGCAGTGCTTTCCTCATGCCAAAAGCCACACTGCTTTCATACAGCGTCTGATAAGCAGCGATGGTCATGCGAATCTCATCTCTCACTTGCAGCAGCAGAAGGCCCCGTTCAGCACAGTTGATTGTCACCTGTCTGATGAGCTCATCTAAGAAACACAGCCATTGGAAATCATGGACATCTCAAGAATCACTTTATTTGTATCATCTGTCATTTTTGGTTTTACCGAAACACTGATTGTAGAGCTCTCTGCGCACGGGACAGATGCCCGTCTCTCTGGCCTGCCTCTCTTGCAGTTTTTTGTCTAGTTGTTCTTGCAGGTGAATAACATCCACTCGTGTGCATGGAACGCTGGACACCGGCTGCACCCATAACTGGTTGTCCTCCATCCATTCCCTGTGACAGGACCATTTGTAAGATTTGTGTACTATTTGGGGCTTGGAAAAATGTATGCTTACTCAGGTGAAATTTTATTGTGACATGAAATAATGTAAATATTTTTTCTATTTTAACATTTAATTCATTCATGTGAAGTAAAAGCTGGATTTCCTGCAGTCATTTCTCTTGTCACTTGATTCGTCAGAGGTCATTCTATTTAAATGGTGCCAAAGAAACATTTGGTCATATTTTCAATTGTACTGCTTAATATATATTCTTTACTTATGCTGCTTAAATCAGTCAATAAATAACTGGTGTATAACAATCATGTATTCTGAAATACCACTAGTTGAAACTGAATAGTTGATATCTGGCTGACAGTTTCTTATGGAAGTCAACAGTAAAAATGTGAAGTAGTAAAGTAGTTATTATTAAAGTACAAGTACTTCTATCTATTTAATAGCTTATAGCATGTAAAAAGTATTAGTAACCCTTGAATAAAAATTGCATTTAACTCTTAATGGTGTCTAATAAAAAGGGGTTTGTTTCTGATGGGAAAATATTATTGTACTAGTATTTACCAAATAAATACTGGTAGCAAGAAAAAGATGCTAGTGTGTTTTAAAGGTTTAAATAAAATGGCTTGCCATACATAATTCTACAAATTCTTTTGCTGTCACTGTAAATCATTTTTGCATTTTTAATAATGTTCATTTAAAACTAAACACCAATTTAACATGATTAATAGGACATTTCACCCCAGAATTTTTATCATGAACATTTTGAACACTCAAAGGATTGTAAGCTTTTTATTTCTTCTGTTGAATACAAAATAAGACATCCTAAAGAATGTTGGGGGGAAAACAGCTATTTCTATTGACATCCACAGTAGGAACAAACATACAATAGAAGTCAATGGCCGTTTTTTTCCAACATTCTTCAATATTTAGTTCAATTCATCTTTATTTCTATAGGTAGTTTACAATGTAGAATATGTCAAAGCAGCTTAACATAGACGTTCTAGTAAGTTGAAACTGTGTCAGTCCAGTTTTCCAGTTTTGTATTCATCAGAACAAACCATACAGGTTTATTTAGAACACATGAGGGATTAGTAAACGATGACAGAATTTTCATTTTTCACTTTAATTTACGAATAGCTAAAGTTTGATATTAATAACTGAAAAAGTCTATCTATTTTGTTAATACTTAGGTGGGAGGATGGCATTCAGGATCTCTTCGGTTTGCTGTCTGTTGGCCTCTGCAGAGGGACTCTTGGGTTTGGGTGGCGGTGGAACAGGACCGCTTTCTACCATCTGTTGTGAGCTCACTTTCAAAGGGCGACTCTGAAGTCAAAAGAGAAAGAAAAGGTAGAACAACTAGTACTCTTCACAGTGGTTTACTAGCACGTGAATTATTATTTTTATTTACATAACGTTAAGTTACATGTCAGAGCTGTTCTTACCCTTGGAGACTTTCTCTCTGTATTCTTGCTCACTAACACCGGAGATTCATACCTCAACAAGGAGTCAGACGAAGGAATCATGTTTTTAAAGTTAATTTGTCAAGAAACGACACAAAAGTTTCGAGTTTACGTTTTGTTATAAGACTTCAGCCCACTCGCCAGCGCCGAGACGTTTCGTTTTATTGTGTATTGTTACTATAGAAACCGCGCTTGCCTCTGGATACCTTCAGTGAAGCAGGTTCAAAACTAAAAACGTTAGCAGAAACAAACACAACAATGAAGAACTAACGTTAGATTGCTAAATTACGATCATTTGCACCTTTTTAAAAAATAAATTCAATACAAATTTACGTGTTATTCTATTTTTCTAAACGATAAAACAAAGATTAGACGCAATTAGAATAAAATAAAAAATAAAAAAAATTTTTTATTAAAAAGCATCCTTTCTGCGATATTTTTTACTAATTCATTTTAAAACTTATTCATTTAAATTATGAATATTACTGTTATGAATAAAACTGTAATGTTTGGTGGATAATCGCCTGTGAAGTGTACAAGAACAAATATCAAAATATCCTTTAGTATATTGTTAATTATTATTTTGAAACACAAAGAAACAGTTATAGAAATTATATATTTTTGACTTTAGTATTATAAATAATAATTATAAATCTTGTTATCACTTCAATAACACCCAAAAATAAAAAAGCCCAAAATCTCAAAACTGACATGCATTTATTTGCTTTATTTGCTTGCGTCTCTTCCTGAATAAAAAACGAATATTAATAAATACAACAACACATATATTGCTCATTTCTAGTTAAAGTTTGCAAATACATTAATAAACCTGTAATTAAACATACCCATAAACTAAACCGAACATTTGAAGGAAGCGGAACTAAATCGCCTTCCATAGGGATGGATTTCTTCAGCGTACTGTCCTCGAACCGGAAGTGTACATGGAAGTTTCGTAAATGCGGTTTGAATGTGTTTTCGTGCTCTCTTTTGGTATGAACGACTCTTACTATTTACGGAGCTAATAGACGAATTTATTTCACGATGGACAACAGGAGACGACACAGAGACTCTCCTGTCCGGGATGTAAAGACGAAAATTAAGCAAGAAAGACTGAGCCCCGCGCGGCCTCCGCGAGCGCGCAGACACAGTTCAGGATCCAGCCGAGACAGCAGCAGCCCTGCACAGCGCCGACGAGACAGCAGGTCAGCCTGCCAGCGACCGCCAACAGGAGAACAATCACTTTTTATTGAACTATTAATTTAAAGTGTTGTGATGTTCGTTGGTGCTTATTGAGTATTACACGCGGAGAGGTTCAACAAGTCATTTCACGTGAAACGTCAGTCGAGAGTTTTATAAATCATGCTGCTTTCTGAACTTTATTTGCAGATCACCGGTGAGGAGAAAGGACAGATCACCGGCGAGAAGAGACCGTTCGTCGGGGAGACAGCAGGAGAGGTCGCCTCGGCCCCGGAGGAGCAGAAGCCCGCACCGCAACACTGAGGCGAGGATAAAACGGGTTAGTAAAGTCGCCTTTATTAACCTGAAACTGTGAACTGAGATAGCTCAGGTGGATTTACAAGTGTTAAAGACCAAAGAGGCTTATTAAATACAATCCTGTGGCGACAGCAGCACACAACAATCAATAAAACATTTGTTACTGCTAAAACCTGTATACTTTATATTTTCTAATATTTATTTAGCAACTTTCATTGTTGTTTAGAGTTACATAAGAGACTCAACCCTTTAAATAAGTGGCTGCTGCCTGTTTTAGTTATATTAAATTATTAAATCAGATAATCTTTTAAGCTTTTAGGTCATTTGAGTTTACATTGCATTAACTAAAAACCTTGATTTGAGTCTTGTAATATCAATATGAAACGTTGAAACCAGGTTATCTTATGTTTAGTTAAATTTAAGTAAATTCTGTCTGTCTTAACTTATTAATCATATTTTAATTTAATACGTTCTTAATATAAATATATATTAGTAACGGTATCGGTTGTTTTTTCATCAGAAGTGTATTAAAATAATTTTAAGTGAAATTTGTATTTTACATTATTTTAGCATTTTACAAATGTGATCAACTATTTTTTTATCTTTCATCATTGCGTAAAATGATGGATATATTATGGTGTTATATTACAACATTGTTGACCCAGTATTTTGTTTATAAAACATATTTATTATATAAACATAATGGAGAAATGCTGTGAATGTACATTTTGACACATCACTTGCCTTTACTATGCTTTCTGTGTGTAGTGGTTGTTTGCAATCATGTGGTTCTGGTGACGCGTGAAATTCAGATGGATGGCAGGGAGTAAAAAAATGAATGGGAAACAGAGGAAAGTCTGTGTTTTTGTGATTTATACCATATTTCAAAGGAGATAAAATATAGAAAATAACCACATTAGTTGGGTATGATCCTTATATCATGAAGAGGACAGAGTTTTCTACTGAACTAAAATATATTTGCCTGCCTTTGATGCAGTAGACAGCCACTGTTAGCTATTACATGATAATATGAAATATGAAAATATTATCATCATCATCATTATATATATTTTTAGTGGATGGTAAAAAGAGCTCCACAATAATACCCGTTTAGTTTTACTCGCAATGGTAGCATTTCTTTTTTGTTCAGTCGATGAACTTACCATCAAACATTCAATGCTGCTGCACAACTCGATGTTCACGTCACAGTTGTTTTTTTCACCGAGACGCCAGTAAAAACATCAATTATTGCAAAACAAAATGGAGATTTCATTGCAGTAATTGCAGGGCAGGGTACATTATTTATGTTCTTCTGGATTTTGTATACGTGTGATGTTTGTATCTGATTTTTATGACACATTAACATTTATACACATAGCTAGGCCTTTATATGATAATTATTAGTGTTGTCAAACAAATTATCGCATTTAAGTTTGTACACATTAATATATTGAATGAATGTTTATTATATGAGCAAAACCTTTGAAAACCTGTAAAAACTGTTTGGCGTTTCTCATTTAAGCAATTAAAAACAATACAAAACAAACCTTCTGATTTTATCTTCTGATAGCGATTCCTATATACAAGAATTACTTCCTGCCCTCCATCTCGGTCTCGAGCATCATCAATGAGATGAAACCTTTAAAATCCCTTTTGTGAATGTAGTTTGATTTCTTCAACCCACTAATAATTTTTAAAAAAATGTATGTTGATTGTATCCAAACATTGACATTATTATTAATATAAAATGTTAATAAATATACATAGTACGTGCAAGTTTTAACAACAGAGATGTTTGTTTTCATTACAGGAACAAGATGATCCCAGAGGATCTGAAAGTCATCGGCATCGCGAGAGAAGGGACGATTCAAACGACCGCAGGCTGAAGAGGGAGGCTGAGCGACCACGGCAAAGAGATCGAGGCCGAGAACAAGACCGACAACGTGGAAGAATACGAGATGCCCATATTCAAGAGCAACAGCAGGCTGAGAGGGAACGACACAATGAGCGGCGGAGAGAGAATCGCCTCAGACAGGAAGCTCAGAGCGGCGGCGCTGAGGAAATGCTCGAGTTTGGCGGTGAAAACAATGACGAATCGGCCCCTGCAGCCGAGAAGGAAAAGCCCAATTTTGAACTGTCTGGCGCTTTGGTGGAAGATACCAATACATTCAGGGGGGAGGTGATCAAGTACAATGAGCCTCCCGAAGCGCGGATCCCTAAAAGAAGATGGCGTTTGTATCCCTTTAAGAATGACGAACCGCTCCCGGTCATGTACATCCACAGGCAGAGTGCGTATCTACTTGGAAGACTGAGGAAGATTGCAGACATTCCTATCGACCACCCGTCTTGTTCCAAACAACATGCTGTTTTTCAATACAGGTCAGAGCAAAACAAGATATTATTTAGTAAACGGTTGGTGTTGGCTTAAAAAGAAAATTTACTGTTATTTAATTGAGGTGATTTTATGTCATTTAAAATATCTGATTAAGAATTAAAAAATCTAAACAAATAATAACAAAAACAACAACATTTGAATGAATGAATGAATGAATGAATGAATGAATAAATTGCTCTCAAACTGAATCATCTGATGATATGTCGGACATTTAGTTCACTTAAACAAAAGCCTTTAAATTGGGTTTAAAAGTGCAAACTGAGTTTGACACCCCTGGTCTTTGGGCATGAGCAAACACTTAAGGGATAGTTCACCCAAAATTGAAAATTATCTCATCATTAACTTTCCCTCCTGTGGTTTTCAAACCTTTTTTCTTTTGAAAACGAAGATATTTTTGGAAAAGGCTGGTTGCTGAGGTCAAGCTACTGGCATTTTTTCAAAATATTTTTTGTTTAACAGAAGAAATAAACTCAGATATTTTTTGAACAAGTAAAGGGTGAGTAAATGATGCCAGAATTTAGGCTTTTGTGTGAACCATAAGTTTAACCAAAACAACGTTGACCTACATTGGTCGTGTTTTTGTACAAAGTGACATCACCATCTACTGGTCTGACATACAAATTACAGTAATACTTAATTTGTTACTTTTTTTGTTTGTTTTACTTCCATTTTTTTTGCAGATTTCTGTGAACTGTAGTCATTTCAACAGAGCTCTCGGCTATATATGAACCATTTGTTTTTTTTATAAATAAGAGAAAGATTTGCTTTTCTTCTTACCAGCATCATCAATCTCAATATTTTTTGTTTTAATTTTTTTTATACCCACTGATATATATGTTTTTTTTTTTTTAACCAATATAAACATTTACCAAACTATAGCTATGTTTTCATCCAGAGTTTCCATCCATAACTTTCAACCCATGTTCAAAATCGTAAATTTAGTCATAATTGTTAAAGAGAAGAAATTAATCATTTATTAGTAATAAATAGAAAGCCATTGGGAAAACACTTTATTTGTGCGTAATACATGATTTGCGCCTCAGAGCATGCAAACAACACACAATAACAAACCGTTATGTTATCTCAATCTTGGAGGCAAGTGCTAAAGTTTGTGATTAATAGTGTTTTTGATGATAAAATATTGTGAGCTATTTATGGTTAGCATTTGAACTACATTTTTGCCACTGTTTCAGCTGGGTGTTAGCATGTATTCTCAGTATTTTGATCACAAATGGTCAGCCGACACACTTTACATTTTGATTTATAAGCTTGTGTATTTTGGCATAACACCGCAAAGTATGAATAATTTCTCAACGTGTTGCATAATTTCAGAACAATTTAGGTCAGAAGGTGGAGGTCTTTTGTCATTGCTTGTACACATTAAAGGGATAGTTCACTCAAAAATGACAATTTAGTATTTGCTCAACCTCAAGTGGTTATAAGCTATAATGAGTTTCTTTTATTGAACACAAAAGAAGATATTATTTTAGTAACCTGTAACCATTGACACCCAAAGTAGAAAAAACAAACACTATGAAAGTCAATGGTGACAGGTTTAAAGCCTTTTCAAAAAAGTTTTTTGTTAAACTGATTGAAAAGAAACTCAAATGTTTTGAACTAGTGAAGGGAGAGTAAGTGATGACAGAATTGAAATTTTTGATGAATCATACCTTTAAACTATACGGTTACTAGGGCTTCATGATATTAGATAAATATGATATTGCGATATGTTATTTGTTTGCTTTAAATATTGTGATACGAATACAGTTTCACAAGATAGTTGGAATAGCACTAGTTGTTTTCTGACGAGTCTTATAGTATTCGGCTAGAGAAATTGAATAATCAAAATGCAAAAAATGCTTTCCTTACTTTGCTTTGTCTCATTTCTAGTCCAAATATATAAAACGAAAATCTTAGAGCAAGTAAAAATACTGTTTTGTTTCACCTTTAGAAGACACAAGTCAAAATTGAGTAATTCCTGAAATACTTCTACCACAAGCTTCTCACAATAGTTTTCAGGAGTTTTGGCCCATTCCTCCTGACAGAACTGATGGAACGGAGTCAGATTTGTCTTGCTCGCACAAGCTTTTTCAACTCTGCCCACAAATTTTCTATAGGATTAAGATCAGGGGTTTGTGATGGCCACTCCAAAACATTCACTCTGTTGTCCTTAAAGAACATTTCAACTAATTTGGCAGTATGCTTAGGGTCATGGTCTGTTTGAAAGACCCATTTGTGGCCATTTCCTGACTGATGTCTGGAGATGTTGCTTCAGTATTTCTACATAATGTTCTTTCTTCATGATGCCATCTATGCTGTGAAGTGGACCAGTTCCTCCTGCAGTAAAACAGCCCCATAACATGATGCTGGTGTTTCTAGGCCTGTAAGCTTTCCCCTTTGTCCTCCAAATGTAACACTGGTAATTATGGCCAATCAGTTCAGTCTTAGTTCCATCAGATCACAGGACATGTCTTTGTCTTTATCCCAGTGTAATTTAGCAAATTGTAATCTGGCTTTTTTGTTGATTCTGGCTTGTTGATTTTACCATGTTGTCACAATAGGAATCAGTGTGTTTCAGGTTTTCCTTAAATACTATTCTACAGTTGTGCCTCCAATTACCTAAAATGTTGTCAATTAGCCAATTAGAACTTTCCAAAACCTTGACACAATCATCTGAGCTTTTTCAGAGGCATATAATGTAAACTTGACTTTTGAGAAAAGTTATAACAATTTCTCAAAAAATATCTCTCTCATTTTTCTGCTATTTAGAATAATAGAAATTCGATAATCCTAAATTACCTAAAAGAGAAAAAGTTTAATCAAATTAACATCTGAGTTTTTTTAACGGTTATGTGCCTTTTAATACAGTGTATGTAAACTTCTGGTTTCAACTATATTTGGACTAGAAACAAGACAAAAATTATTATTATTATTATTATTATTTTTGCATAAATCATAATTAAATGGAATTCTGTAGCTCCCTGTCAACTATAAGTAAGACTCAACATTGCATATCTATGCGATGTGAGTATTGTGCAAATTGGGATATCCATGCTGAAACGATATTGTGCAATCCTAATGTTTACATTGTCAAGCAAAGTGGACAAGTTCAAAATGATTGATCTTTTTCACACCTTTAGTTTCATCGATAGATGTTTGATAGTATTTCACCTCAGTTTACATCACAGTCTGGAAGAAAAGATCTGTCGCTACTTTCACTACATCAACATTAAAAGAAGTGTTTTTTAGGTGGAAATTTCCCAAACTTCATTTCTCATTGTCTTTTCTCTTCTCCAGGTTAGTGGAGTTCACACGGGTGGATGGCACTGCAGGCAGGAGAGTGAAGCCGTACATCATCGATCTGGGTTCTGGTAACGGCACCTACCTGAACAATCAGCGCATCGAACCTCAGCGTTACTACGAGCTCAAAGAGAAGGACGTGCTGAAGTTCGGCTTCAGCAGCAGAGAGTATGTGCTCCTTCACGAGTTCTCTGACACAACCGAGGTCGATGCGAAGAAGAAGGAGGAAGAAGAAGAGGAGGATGAAGGGCTGGATGAGTAGCTCTCTCCTCAAAGTTTACCAAAGTAACCTGTTTGTGCTGGACTGAAAGTTTTTTTTCAAACAGGACGAGCATGAACTGCTCATTTATTCATAATTTCCTTCTGAACAATGAAACGATGATGCTTCAGCCTGCCCAAGTTGTCTGTATGACTTATTCTCAGGTGGATAGCTTTTGTATCCCGTCAAACTGTGTACATTGTTGTCCCTAAAAGCAAGTGCTCAAAGCCAGAACTAATGAATCTGTCTTTAAAAACATATATTTTGGATACGCTTGAAAAAGAGTGAATATAATGTTCGTTTTGGTTACTGTAAATATACTGGATTTATCTGAAGTGACTGCTCGTTTAATGTGTTTTAGTTTGTAGTATTTGTGATTTAGATGCCTACTATGTTCTGGTCAGTTGAACCAGTCTCCTAGCGCCAGCATCTTCACGATCATTCAGAAAATACTGAGAATAATTTGAATAGTGCTACAGAAAAGATGCCATCTTTCTTTACATATTTTCTATTCTCTCACAGTGCATTCATATTTGATGATTAGATGTTTTGTATTGTAAAATAAAGATGGATAATAATGAATGTTTGTATTTTGATGGACTGCACACATTGAATTTGATGGAGTGAACGCTATCAAATGTGTTGAAAGTTAAGAAATTCCTTTTTCGTTTTTATAGGGAATTTAATAGGTATTTAATTTTTCAGTTTACATAAATATAATAAATTCGGTATTTAAAATGCATTTATAACGTAGAAATTAAAGTTTGACCTTCAAATACCGTCTTTTTAAAAAAATTTGATTGTTAAAAAAATTTATACTCCTAAAGAAAATGCCTCGGTTACATTTTGAGGTACCTTTATTTTGAAGTCGCCACATCCGGTTTGCATCACAATTCAAGCGTCATGTTGTCGTGAGTAAGGTAGTTCGCTGACTTTAAAGGTTTGTGTACATGCGTTTTTGTTAATTGTATGTCTGTGTCGTGATCTAATACCTGTTTATTTCTTCCGTTTACGTCAATTGTCGCTTATGGGGTTTTGTTTTCGTCTCTAAAGTTGTTTGTTTACCGGTAGTTCACAGACCGCGCGAATCTGCATCACATAATGTCACAGCATCAGCGCTGTGGTTTTTGTGTTTAGAAAATAAATAGTGATTGAGAATTAAATATAATTACTTAATGGTGATGTCCATTATTTATTTCAAGTACTTTTCGTTTTCCTTAAAGGGATAGTTCTGCGTTTTGTCATCAAGTACTCGCTCTCGTTTGGTTCCAGTGAGATTCTTCTGTGCAGATTGAAAGCCATGTCCATATCCATCTCATGATAGAGAGAAAAAAACATTTAAGTCGCTGTTGAGTTTCCAAGTGTTTTCTGTAAGTTGATGACAGGTTGATCACCAGGATGAAATCAGCAAGACAATAATCTGAAACACCGCTAATAAAACTCTCAAACTGTTTCAGAAAAAGAAAATCAAGCTGTAGAATGGCCCAGCCTATCACCTGACTTGAAACCAATATAAAATACAAATTAAAGATGAGTTTGGACCGACAAAACCCACAGAACCATCTACAGCTTCATTTTCTTTTTCTGAAACCGTTTGAGAGTTTCCTTGTCTGTGTTTTGGATCATTGTCCTGCTGAAATGTCCACTTTGGCTTCATTTCCATCATGCTAATGTAGATGTTGGACTGTAGCAGCTGATATTACTTTACAAAGATGAATGGTAGAGGGTTGCTGAATAACTACTGAGAGATTTCAGCTGCTGTCTGGGCTTTCACTGCCTATTTACACCTCTTTCTTCATGTGTTCAATACTTTTGCTTGTGTCATTTCATTACACAACTTAAATTAAAAACTAATTAATATTGTTTTCTTTGCATAAATATGTATTTCTTTGGTTATCAACATCTGTTGAAAATATCAAGTCAGCATCTTTAGCAATATGTTTTGTGAGAAAAAAGGTGATGTATTGAATATTTATTTTCCCCACTGTATATCTATATCTATATATATATATATATATATATATATATATATATATATATATATATATATACTTAGCAAGAAAACTGCTTATACAAAGGCATATATCATCATAGGAGATAGGTTTTTGAGTGAACTGACTCTTTAAAGTAAATATTGTATTTAAATTAGAAAAAAAAAATCGGTAAATTTTCTGTGAATTTATTTACATTCAGGAAATCCATCAGACCTTCGTATGACAAGTGTATTATAAGGAGCAACAAGTGTTATTTTTGCCTGTTGTGTATGTTTGGTTTTTCTTTTTTTTAGAAAGCGACCATAACTGTCGACTTGGATTTTACAAATAACCAAAGACCATGAACTTAACTAAAACTCTTTCTTAACATTCTACTAAACAGTCAAGTCTTCATAAACTATAACATGATCAATTATGCTTTGTATAATCCTGCCTCTTTCTCTTCTAGATGTAGCCTAGTTTGCTTCTTCACATAGAGGTGAACTTGTCTTCATCATGATGTCATCGGATCCTCCATCTCTGCGCTTCGGCCAGGTTGTGATTGGTCCGCCTGGTTCAGGTAAAACCACTTATTGTCGGGGCATGCAGGAGTTTCTGAGTCGCCTCGGGCGAAAGGTGGTCATTGTAAACCTCGATCCTGCCAACGAAGGCTTGCCTTATCCGTGTGCCGTGGACATAGCAGAGCTTGTAACTCTGGATGATGTGATGGACGGTCTAAAACTCGGCCCCAATGGTGGTCTCATCTACTCTATGGAATATTTGGAGGCAAATTTGGACTGGTTGGAGAACAAGCTGAAGCTGCATCATGACTGCTACTTTCTGTTTGACTGCCCAGGCCAAGTGGAACTGTACACTCATCACAATTCAGTGAAGAATATCTTTGCACAGCTGTCCAAGTGGAATTTCAGGGTACGTGTTTTCTCTTTTGTATTTTTGATTTAATTAGGTGTATTCATTTGTGTGTTTTGATTTGCTTTCGGCAGCTGACTGCAGTGCATCTGGTGGATTCACATTACTGTGCTGATCCAGCTAAGTTCATCTCTGTGCTGTGCACATCTCTGTCCACCATGCTGCATGTTGAATTGCCACATGTAAATGTGCTGTCAAAAATGGACCTCATTGAGCAGTATGGAAAACTTGGTGAGTTGATATACTCGGGATTGATACAGAAATATAGCCAAGCATCTTGAGGATATTCTGCTGTTTGCAAAGAAAGTTTACTGTTACATTATATTATAATGAATTCTAAAATATCAATATATGCTATTGTATAAGTACAATTTTCTTGCAAAATACGTAACCATTTTTAAGTTTTATATATAACATGATGGTATATATACAGTAGGGAAAATAAATATTTAACACGTCACCTTTTTTCTCACAAAACATATTTCTAAAAATGCTGTTGACTTTAAATTTTTACCAGATGTTGATAACCAAACAAAAGCATATATGATATAAAAACAAATTTAATTAGCGTACAAATTAAGTTATGTGTAATTAAAGGAAATGACACAGGAATAAGTATTGAACACATGAAGAAATGGAGGTGCAGACAGGCAGTTAAAGCCCAGACAGCAGCTGAAATCTCTCAGTAGTTATTTAGCAACCCTCTGCCCTTCGTCATTGTAAATAAATATCAGCTGCTTCAGTCCTACATTAGCAAGATGGAGTTGAAACTAGAGTGGACATTTCAGCAAGACGATGATGAAAAACACAGCCAAGGAAACTCAAATGCTTTCGGAGAAAAAAAAAATTAAGCTGTAGATGTTTCTGTATGTTTCATCTGTCCAAATTGATCTTTAAGGTAGTATCCAATCGTATTTTCTATTGGATTCAAGTCAGGTGATTGGCTTGGCCATTCAACAGCTTGATTTTCTTTTTGTGAAAGCATTTGAGAGTTTCCTTGGCTGTGTTTTGGATCATTGTCTTGCTGAGTTGTTCACCCTGGTTTCATCTTCATCCTCCTGATAATGTAGATGCTGGACTGAAGCAGCTGATATTAATTTACAATGACGAAGAGCAGAGGGTTGATGAATAACTACTGAGAGATTTCAGCTGCTGTCTGGGCTTTCACTGCCTTTTTTTGCACCTCCCTTTCTTCATGTGTTCAATCCTTTTTTTCCTGTGTCATTTCATTTTAATGCACATAACTTTAATTTGTAAACTCATTAATATTGTTCTCTTTGCATATATGGATTTCTTTGCTTATTATCAACATCTGGTGAAATTTGAAGTCAGCGGCACCTTTAGAAATATGTTTTCTGAGAAAAATGGTGATGTGTTAAACTTATTTCCCCCCGCTGTATATGTATATATGCGTCAGTGATGTAATTAGGTGTCTGTACCAAATTAATTTCACAAAAGTAATTTAATATATAGAAAGCATATTAGGCGCAAGTTTTTACGGCTTCATACAATTGGAAATGTGGGTAAAATGATATTCCCATGTAACATATTTTTGTAAAGATTAAACCACATATATATTGTGTAATTATAGATCATTTTGAGGACTGTAAACAATAACAATGGTCCTAATCTATTTCCTGTTTTACATTTTTAATATCAATAGCTTCTGGAGATCCAAAACGGTCCACATATTGATAAATAATGTTATGATAGCGGTTTTACCGTGAAGATATGATTGAATTGGCTCTTTTTACAGGTATAAAATGGTCTGATAAGATGCAGGAAACGTTCATGGGTTCATGAAATTGTCTATATGTAATCTAATAATTTGTAAAAGTTAAAATATATAAAAGAATAAGTGATCATTTAATATATGTTAGATTTTAGATTATTAAAATCTTCTTGCTATAAAATGGGTCAAATCTAATCTTTTAAAAGAAAAATGGTAACACTAAAATAATGGTCCATCTGTTAATGTTAGCTAATGTATTTTCTAAAATGAACAAACAATTAGTAATACATCTATTATCAAATTTATTCATCTTTGTTAATATTATTTAATGTTATTTAAGTTAAATACCTTTAGTTCATGTTAAGTCACAGTGCATTCGCTAATTTTAACAAGCACATCTTTGGATTTTATTAATGCACTAGTTAATGTTGAACTATGATTAATAAATGCTTTTACAAAATTAATCATACCTAATGTTAATAAATATTATTCTAAAGTGTTACAAGATAATAAAATTGATAAATGACAGTTATTAGAGTGCCACTGTGATCCTTAAAATAGTCTTTTAATTTTTCATCAAATTACTTTTATAAATGTGCCTGACCGGATGTTTTGCTTTATATAATATTGTTACAGAATGACATTTTTGTCTGTGCTTTTCTATCAATTTATATATTCATTTGCGTTATCGTGATAACCATGTTAAGATGGTCTTAAAATATAAATCTGTAGCAAAACATCCACAGATGCTGCAGAAAATATCTGGGTCGTGTTTATATTTTCTTCTGCCACTGGGCATAATTTTAACCTTGAAATCAGGATCAGACATAAAATAACAGAAATGTGAAATGTATGTCTTAATGGCAGATTTGCTGGTGAATTAAAGATAATACAACACTCATTCACTTTATAACTGATTGTTGAAACCCTAAATGTACAAAATTCATATTTATTCTCACATTTTATTCTCGAGGTTTAATTTTATAATTAAAACTCCAATGTTGAAATGCGTATTTGATTTAACTCCACAATATACATGTGGGCGAACTTCTCCATTTAATATCAACTCTCTCTTACAAGCCTTCAACCTGGACTTCTACACTGAGGTTCTGGATCTGTCATATCTGGTGGAGCATCTGTCTGCAGACCCTTTCTTCAAGAAATTTCACCACCTCAATGTGAAGTTGGCTGAAGTGATCCAGGACTACAGCTTGGTGTCTTTTGTACCTCTGAATGTGCAAGTCAGTGCTCACATTTGTAATTGTTATGACACACCCATGGATGTGTTCGTTTATAGGTGTTTTTTTTTTTAGGACAAGGAAAGCATGATGCAAGTTCTGAGAACTGTGGACAAAGCCAATGGTTATTGCTTTGGAGATCTGGAGGAGAGGAACCTGCAAGCCATGATGTCTGCTGCTGTTGGAGCCGACTTCCAGTTCAGCACGTATCCTTATCACTTTGTGTTGTTTTCTTTTCTTTTTTCATTGTGATTACATAGATAATCATCCTTAACCATTGATCTCAGAACTCTTGGTGTACAGGAGAAATATCTGGATGCTACTAAGAACCATGTGGAGGATGAAGTTATGGACTTGTAGAACTTTTGGTATGAATTAAAAAAGGAAAAATTAGAAAAACACATTTTTTAAATGTCTTATTGTTTTACACATTGAAAATATTACTGATAAAAATATAAGCAACAGAGTGAATTGATGTTTCCATTTCTGAAAATTAAAATGTTTACATTCACAGATCTGTCTTAGCAATTTTTTTAGCTAGTAACAAAAGTCTTAACCTGAAATGGTGCTTTTAGATATGTGTGTCAATGACTCTACATAAGCAATAATAGGCAAATAATAAAACAAAAACTTTTATTGTAAAGCTTTATTAAAAATATCTACAAAACCATTTTAAATGCAAAAGTCTACTTTAATGTTAAAAAAAATCTAAATAAAATGTCAGAATGGGCTTTATACACAGCTAGTGTTTTTTAGTCAATGATAAGCATCTGGTAAACGGTTTGTGTGACTCTTTTCAAATTCGTAACGTTGCTTTTACAGCATCGATGTTGTACTGTAAATACATTGTTACATTCTGATTAAAGCATACATTTAGTTGTTAAAGCATATACTGAAGTGATAGACATTGTAACTGCAAGCGGCGTCAGGTTCAGCAGGCGAGAGCAGAAGCTCCATTGAAAATACTGGGGTAAATAAACTGACATATTTTAAACACATGGCAGGGGGAAATGGAATTTAATGCAGTGCTTTTTGTCTGGTGTGAGACCCACTTTATATCATATATGTCAGGCAGTGAGGATCACTGATTTTTAAAGAAATCAGACTTTAAACTTGACAATTTTATATTGGAAGGACAGTTCACCGGAAGAGCTGAGGCTGACAATTAAACGTCTGTGCATATACCCCATTGAGGGGTATATACCCCATTGACAAATATTGTTTTATCATTATTAAATGCAACAAATAATTTTATCAAAAATAAAAATGATAGATTCTGACAATTCAATTCAATAATTGCTTCATTGGCATGACACATATCACAAATGTATTGCAAAAGCATTTATTAAGTTTACATAAAAAAAGTGACAGGCATATATAATAAAAAAAAAAAACAGTAAAAAGTAGTAATAGCCAAAAAAGAGAAGATAATTAAAATATAAATAATAAATTATATTATTTAATAGATCACATTATTATTCAATATATCATATTATTCATGCATATCAATAAATTAATATTAGATCAGAATACACTGTACATTTAACAATCAACATTTTAGGATGAAACAGTAATAAAAACAACAATAATCAGTATATTTACAATGATTCATTTATAATAATCTAGTTGCCTGTGTGTTTGCAAGCGCATAACTGGTGTTTTTATTGGTCTCCTCTCTCTTTCACTCCTTATCAGAGTACATAGACTAAAATCTGTTATATTTTTAATGATTAAAAAACAAGTTGCTGACAAATGGAATAAACCTAGTAGTGTGATTGGATAGTGGAAAAGTATGAATATTGAAAAATGAGAATAACATCTGGTTCTTAAATATAGTCTTTTAACGTCATTAAATTAATCTAAATAGGCCAGGATTTGTTGTTATACAGACTGAATAACATTCTAATGGGTGTTTTCTGTAAATCTAAAAATGTACAATAGTCATGAATTGCTTTAAAAAAATGAGCTATATTACAGTTATTATTTTGATGTTTGATGCCTATTCACTTGCACTTTTTTGAACTTTGAAACATGTATCCAAGCAAAGTACTGTTTATCCACAGCAGGGGTGCCCAAACCTTTTTTATGAAGGGCCAAAAAACAACTTTGACTGAGGCAAGAGGGCCAAAGGTAAATAAAGTACCCATAGGTAATTTCCTAATTTATTTAATAATGTTTAAAATAAGCAGAAAACGTTGCTTTACATAAACGAATATACCATCATTTTTTATATTTTATAGTGGAATTATTACCATACAAACATCTCATTTAAACTAAATTAAACTCTGTTGAATGAAGCACTAGTTTTGCCTTGATTTGCTCACTATATTCCTCTATCCATCAAGTGACATTATTTACTGGACATTTTTAAAGATCAGATTCATTTATGATATTTAATTGAAACATTTCATTCATTGCTTTTTTGTAGCTCAGCAATAAAACAAACAAAAATGTTGCATCAAATTAGAAATGATGATCTCTTTTAAAGGCATTTGCCCCAACCTTCTCCATCCTTCTCATTCTCTTCTCAGATGGGGTGGTGGGCCAAAACAAAGGTTACAGTGTGCCAACCTTGGGCATCACTGATCTACAGCAAAATAATTCTTAATGTCGGATTGTTTTCTCCAGTTTTATAAATCTTGATGGGCTCAAGTTCATGTTAGTTTAAGAAGTACTTTAGCACCACTAGAGGTCACTGTCATGACGGCTACTTGTTCAGACAATATAGTAGTCTGCTTTTTCCTGGTTTATCATTTAAATTCTGGTAAGTTCAGTCGATTGCGTGTCAATTCTGAGAGCAAAAACAACTGTGTTAGTCGGAGAACACACTAAACTAGAAAGTAAATGATTATCGTGTTTTAATGTTTAAACTTGTCGATACTTTGTTTATAAATCAATGTGCGGTGTTGTGTTTTATTATTCGTTACAGTATGAAGTGTTGTGGTCGTGTTTATTCGTTTACTCTGGCTTCCTCGTGATACAGGGCGCGTTTTTAGCGAACTTGTGGCGGAGAGAAGCTTTACGAGCCGGAACTCGTTTTCCATCATGTGCAGTCTGGACCTTGAAAAGGCCTTCTCACTCGCGGATGAACACAGGAATGCATTGTACACGAGAGGGAGACATGACAACTATGTTAGCTAGTGCTCGGTGTTTATAGAACTTGTCTTTTTGGTCTGTTTTCTCTTAGCTAATATCAGTTTAATATGATATAGTCGTGTAAGCTTAAGTTTGAAAGTGCTACAGTATTCAGTAGAAATAAAAATGCACTACAGTCACCTTAACACATACTTGTGCGAGCCACGGAAGTATTCCGGGAACCAGAAAGAAGTGCTTTGCCTCTTAGCGCACTCGGTTTGAGAAGCTTAGAATACGTGGAGTGGAGTTTAAAATAACGCATTCTGAAAACGCTGGTGTTTTTTAAAACTCTGTGTCATTTAAATGTAACTGTATTTGTTGCTGTGAGCATTTACAAATAAGTAAAAAGAAGATAAAATTTGTAATATTGCAACTAGAGTACAAACAGGCGATACAAGGCTATTGAAAGCTGAATTTATCAGTAGGAATCCATGTGGAGACAGGTCCACTTCGATTTGAACTCCTCTTCGCGTTTTGTGGAATACGCAGGGTAAAAACAGGAGGTAGACAGGGAATGGAGTTGGCAATGTGAAATCTGTTTCTGCTTTACAGGGTCTGAATATGTGTAAGCTTGACTAATACAACTGCTCTAGACATCATGTAGTTATAAAACAAGTTTAGAAATGTTCATTTTTACAAGAACTAGTCAGTGTGGGTGGATTAAATGCTAACAAAAATGTTCCTGTATAACAAATACATTTAATCTGTTTTGTTTATTTAGTCTTTTTTTCATATTGGTTACATGAGTTAATGTTCTACTGAATAATTGTATTTTTATGTTAAAGGATATATTGAATTTATGAAATATTGTATTTATATGAAATACATTAACTGCTTTTTGTGTCTTGGTTCTATAATTAGTTTTTTTTATATTTAACATAAGCTTGAAATTATTTAGCATAATATGAAATTCGTGGAACCAATAAGGAAGGAAAATTGGGCAAAATTTAACCAGATCAGAAAAAAACTGAAAATCTGAACACTTATTTTATCACTAAATGATGCTAGAACTAATATATATATATATATATATATATATATATATATATATATATATATATATATATATATATATATATATATATATTTTTTTTTTTTTATTTTTTTTTTATCATGTTATTCAATTTATAATTTAATATAACTATACAGTCATTCAGTCGGTGGATTATAATGTCATCTATGGAATAGTTTCATGTTTATGTTATCTAAATTGATTAATTTTAACTCAATATACAGATTTAACAAACAATTTTAGAATATGAAAAAAAGATAGCTAAAAAATTGTAAAATGTATGTAGAAGTCATATCGCATTTGCCTTAGTTACAATTACAGTTTATTAACCTCCCTGCAATGTTCTGGGAAGATTTGATTATGGTTACCAAATATATATAAAGAGAGAGCAGGGTGTCCAGGGGATCTTAAAGAGCATTAAAAGTTGATAAATAAATGTAGAGAAATTGAAGGCCTTAAAGTATCAAAAAGTCTTAAATGCTATTTTGCAAGGTATCAAATATTATTTCATTTTGATTATGCAATGTATGGTTGTATGCTAAAGTTTGCCTGAATTAAATCTTTGACTATCTGGATGCTGTGTAGTTTATGAAATCAGTCTTGCTAGATTTGACATCATGCTGCTTTGTTTATTGCAGTAATCAAGGCAACATCATTATTTCTGCAGTTCTATAGGTGCCAATCTGCTGAATTTGCTAGATTTAATAGATTTTTATTCAGCATATGCATAATCTTTTAGTGTTGGATTAGTTTCTTACATTAATATTTAGCAAATATACTGTAAGTTAAAACCTCGCCAGTGTTTCCGGTTGAAACCTAAAGTCGTTATAAGGTCTTAATGTATGGAAAGAGTCTTAAAAAAGGTATTAAAAGGTATTGAATTTCACTGTCTGATTCCTGTATATACTCTGTAGAGGTAGCCTACACTGTAAAACCCAAAAAGATAAGGTAACTCAAACCAATTTAGGAAACCGATTGCATTCAGGTTCAAAAACTAATCCTAATGAGTATTGTGAACTTACTCTATTTAAGTAAACGAAGCAATTTGAGCAAAAACCCCAAAAACGAGAAGAACTCAAACCAATTGAGTACTGTAAAACCCAATAAATAAAGGCAACCGTTTGATAAAACCGATTGCTACAAACCATTTAAGCAACAAAAAAAAAAAAATCTATATGAAAATCGTGAACTTACCCGATTTAAGTTGTAGTAATGAGGTATTTAATTTACACTGTAAAAAGTTATTAGTTATTTAAAGTAAAACCAATTTCCTTTAAAGAAACAAGTGGACTTTACAAAAATAATGTAAGTAAACCCCTTGTAATTTGGAACTGTTAGGTTGACTTAATTTATTTTATGATGCAAG